AATTGTGCCTTTGCTAACTAGTTCATTGTTGTTGTAAGTTCTATTATTGCCTGTCCATGATCATGAAGCTCTTTGTGCAAGTGAATGACAGTGGGGTCACCCTGTGGCACATTTGCTCTGCTTTGCCAAGCGGAAGAAGTGTCCGCCATCTCATCCAATATCTTACACGCTTGATCATACGGTGTGTTCATGAAGTTGCCCCCGGCGAGTTGGTTCACTATGCACTGGTTAGTGGTGTTAATACCCCGATAGAAAGTCTGTTGTATCATTGCCTCAGTCATATTATTATTGGGACACTCCTTTACCATAGTCCGGTACCTCTCCCAAATTTCATGCAATGGTTCATTGGGCTCCTGTTTGAAAGCTAAAGTTTTATCCCTCAAAGTTGCAATATGCCCCGGCGAGAAAAATTTTGCAATGAATTTGTCCGCCAACTCATCCCATGTATGGATGGAGTGGTTGGGGAGTCTCTCCAGCCAATCTAGTGCCTTCCTTCGAAGAGAGAAAGGGAAAAGTCTCAACCGCAAGGCATCCTCTGACACGTTCGTTTGCTTGCTCCCCCAGCATGTATCAACAAAACCCTTAAGGTGCTTGTAAGCGTTCTGATCGGGAGCACCTGTGAAATACCCTCGCTGCTCCAACAAGGTCAGCATCACATTGGTAATTTGAAAATTGCCCACCCGGATCCGGGGTGGGACAATTGCACTAGCATATCCTTGGTTGGGAAGCACCCGAGGAGCTACTCTTGGAGGTGGCGGGGGAGGGTCTGGAACATTATCATTGGTATTGGCCTGGCGACCTCTCCTTGAGGTACAAGAGGCACCTCATCTTCACCGATGTCATCAACCTCCTCCCCCGAAACCACGTTTCCAAGAGGGTCATTGTTGTTGTTTGCCGCCATATTGTACCTGAATTGGCGTCACACACAAGTTAGTATCACAGAAGGAAAGAAAAACAATACACAAAACTATTTAGATAGATAGCCAAAACCGTTAGCTCCCCGACAACGGTGCCAAAAAATGATCGGGGCCAACCCTGCACCACTATGGAGTGGCGAGAGTGGTCGATGCAGCTTTTAGCCGAAAAGGTCGGGATCGAATCCACAGGGAGCTAGATTTGGGAATTGGATTCCTATCTAAACTAGCAATGCGTAATGCTCTTAATTATGCTTCCAATCATAATTGTTTGTTTTTTTTACTTCTAATATTATACTACTGAGATGCTAAATTAACTAAGAATAATTGCTTGAAGGGTTTTCTAAATAGGTAACGAGGCACTAGGGAAGTGACTTTCCCCTAGATGAATACTTGACGGGTTCTAAAGTCTAAAGTAAGATGTTATGTTTGGGATTGAGATATAGCCAATGCACGACACTACTCACTCTATACCTCTCGGTAGCTTGAGTGACTTTGCCCTAATTGACTTTCTCAAGACCAATTGGGTGTCGAAATTATGCAAGCAATGTAGGCTCAAGTCGGGTATTACTATCTCTAGATTTAACCCTTTAATTGGGGCTATCAATCTCTTGAGTACGCCCCAATTCCTTATTGGACTGATTACCTAGACTCAAACTCTCTTTGTCAAGAAGAGCCCAAGTCAAAAAGGCACAAATTAGTGTTTGCAACCACTAATCCAACATAGAAAACACAAATCAGTCCAAATATCAACCACCCATAAACATCTAAGCCTTCTTCCCGCGGGTCCTTGCTTGCTTGTGTTTTAGCTTTGAGCACGTAGTCCCCGACTTTGAGTGGTTTGACCTTTGCCTTTTCGTTATAATAGCGTTCTGCCTATTGCTTTTGGGCGATCATCCTTACATAGGCCATATCTCTCCGTTCTTCGGCTTCTTCGAGCTCTTTCCTTCCACTTTCGTCATTCCTTGTCCCGCTCTCGTGGGAATATCTCAAACTGGGCTTTTCGACTCCGAACGGTATTACTGTATCAGTCCCATAAACTAATGAGTAGGGTGTCTCTCCCGTGCTCGTCTTCGGCATTGTTCGGTAGGCCCAAAGTACTTCTGGTAGTAACTCTGGTCATAGTCCCTTGGCGTCCTCGAGCTTTTTCTTCATGATGTTCAGTATTGATTTATTGGAGGATTCTGCTTTCCCGTTGCCTGCGGGGTGACACGGTGTTGAGAGTATTCTTTTGATATGCCACTTCTCAAAAAATTCTGTGACTTTTCTTCCTGTAAATTGGGGTCTGTTGTCGCAACTGATCTATTTGGGGAGGCCGAAGCGGCATACAATATTTTTCCATATAAAGGCGATCACTTCCTGTTCGCATATCTGGGCGAATGCTCCTGCTTCTACCAATTTAGAAAAATAGTCATGTAAAACCATAAGAAATCGTACGTTGCCTCACCCTGCTAGGAGGGGGCCGACGATGTCCATTCCCCACTTGATGAACGGCCAAGGGGAAGTGACTGAATAGAGGTTCTCGCCCGCTTGGTGGATCATTGGAGCGTATTTTTGGCATTGCTCGCATTTTTTCACGAAGTCTGTAGCCTTCTTTTCATGGTGGGCCAGTAGTAACTTGCCCGTATAAGACATCTGACCAGAGCTTGATTGCCGGAATGAACTCCGTAGTGGCCTTCGTTGACTTCTTGGAGGACGCGCCGCGTCTGATTCGGGCCTACGCATTTCGCCGGGGGGCCACCATATGCCCTCTTGTATAGGTCATTATGAATGATACTGTACCTGGCTGCTTGCATCCGAAGCTTCTTGGCTTGTTTTTTATCATCTGGGAGTACGCCATCCTGCAAGTATGTAACAATACGGTTGCGCCAGTCCGAAGTTAGATTTATGATCCTTACCTCGATTTGATCTATCGATGAGTGGACGAGGGTGACCACGTTTCTTTCTCCGGTTATGTTTTTGGTGGCTGCTGCTAATTTGGCGAGGTCGTCTGCTTCAAGGTTTTGTGCTCGAAGAATATGGTCCAGCTGACATTCATCAAACTCGGGAAGCAGTCTACAAATCTCGGCCTGGTATTTTTGTCACCTTTGTTCTTTGATCTGGAAAGTCCCCGTGACTTGGTTGACGACGAGTTGAGAGTCTTAGCGCAGACTGACCCATCTCGCCCATACTTGAGTGCTAGCCTTAATCCTGCAATCACGGCCTCATACTTGGCCTCGTTGTTAATCATGTCCGGGCACCTTATGGACTGGCGAATCACTCGCCTGTTGGGACTTCTAGTATGAGTCCCAGTCCGGACCCTGACGCGTTAGAAGTGTCGTCGGTGTACAAAATCCATAGATCTTGAGTCTGGAGAGGAGCGTGAGCGGCTTCTTTTTCGACTTCGGGCATTATTTTTGCGCTGAAGTCGGCGACGAAGTCGGCAAGAACTTGTGACTTTATCGTCGTTCGCGGTTGATACGTGATATCATGCTCGCTTAATTCTATGGCCCATTTGGCTAGCTTGCCCGATAGCTCGGGTTTATGCAAAATACTTCTCTAGGGAAAAGTCGTGACTACTGAGATGGGGTGGCACTGGAAGTAGGGTCTAAGCTTTCGCGAAGCTACGATCAAGGCCAGGGCCAATTGTTCGAGGTGGGGGTAACTCGTCTCGACGTCGACTAATGTTTTGCTAATGTAATAGATGGGAGATAACACACCTTTGTTTTCTCGGACTAGGACTGCACTCACAGCTACTTCAGACACAGCAAGGTAGACGAGGAGATGTTCCCCAAGTTCTGGTTTTGAAAGTAGTGGTGGCGACGATAGGTCGGCCTTTAACACTTTCAGGGCCTGGGCGCACTCGGAGGTCCATTGGAGGTCGTTATCCTTCTTGAGTACACCGAAAAATTTGTGGCATCTATCAGATGATCGCAAGATGAACCTTAAAAGGGTGGTGAAGCGGCCAATCAACCTCTGAACCTATTTTTTGGTGGTTAAGTGCTCTGGTATCCCTTCGATGGCTTTGATCTAGTCAGAGTTGACCTCGATGCCTTGCCGGGACACTAGGAAACCCAAGAATTTTCCTGAGGCCACATCGAATGCACACTATTCGGGGTTTAGTTTCATTCTGTATTGTCTGAGTATGTTGAAGGTTTGTCTCAAGTGGTCGATGTGATATTCTTTTCTTTTGGACTTGACCAGCATATCATCTATGTAGACTTCCATCGTCTTGCCGAGTTGGTCCTTGAACATTTTTGTTACCAACCTTTGGTACGTCGCCCCTGCATTTTTCAGTCCGAAAGGCATGACTCTGTAGTAGTATGTTCCTTGATGGGTGATGAAAGTGGTTTTTTCATGATCCTCTTCTTCCATGAGGATCTGATTGTAGCCTGAGTAGGCGTCCAAGAAACTCGACAGTTCGTGCCCGGCCATCGCGTCAATAAGTCGATATAAGGTAATGGGAATGAATCTTTGGGGCATGCTTTAATTAAATATGTAAAGTCTATGCACATTCTCCACTTCCCATTTTTCTTTTTCACCATGACCACATTGGATACCCGTTGCGGGTATTTTGACTCTCTCATGGAGCCATTTTCCAATAACTTTTTGACTTCCTCGCATGCTGCATCGTTTATCGTGGAGTTGAACTTACGCCTAACCTGCCTCACCGGGGAGTGAAATGGGTCGAAGTTCAATTTGTGTGTAGCAATCTCCTTCAGAATACCTGGCATATCTGCATGGCTAAAAGCAAACAAGTCCGCGTTAGTCGTTAAAAATTGACGGAATTACCTGGTTCTGCAGCCGATGTAAGCTTTTTTCATGTGGTCGTTGTCATCTAGTTGGACGGGGTCGAGGTCTTCTATGGTCAATTCTGTAGCTTCCACCGTTTCAGGGTCTTTGATGACGTCTTCCCTTTCATCACTGCTCGACCTCGGCCCTGATAATTGTTATGCCTCTTTTGCTCTGCCCTTCATTTGTTGAGTGGTTGTACAATCCAGGGCAATGCGGTAGCATTCTCGAGATGTGCGTTGTTCTCCCCATATGTTGGATATCCCGATAGGGTTGGAAATTTGATGACTTGGTACAAGCTAGAGGGGATGGCCCTCATGGCGTGTATCCAGGGTCGCCTATTATGGCATTGTACGCTGTGTCCTGGTCCATGATATGGAATGTGGTTTCCAGAGTGACGCTGCTGGCCAGGACGGGAAGTGTGATCTTTCCAGATGTTCGTTCAACTGCATTGTTAAAACCTGCTAGCGTGATGCAATGCGGCACTATTTTATCCTCAAATTTCATTTGTGCAAGTACCCGAGGGTGGATAATGCACGTGCCGCTCCCATCATCTACCATAATGCGTCTCACATCTATGTCTAAAATTCGTAAGGTGATAACAAGGTCATCATAGTGAGGGAAAGCCAAACAGTGGGTATCCGACTTATCGATGATTATACTTTCTTCGAGTTTGTCATACCGTTCGTGAGTGATCGACCGTTTGAGCTTATGGGTCATGGTGAAATTTACGCTGTTGATAGAGGCGTCGTCGCCGCCGATGATCATTTGGATGGTGCGGGTTGGTGAGGGCGGCTTCCGCGATCCCTGATGTTGTTCGCATCCTCTGGCAAAGTTGGTCATTCCCCGTTCGATCAACAATTCCTTGAGGTGTCCTTTTCGGAGCATGTTTACGGCCTCCTATCTTAGGGCGATGCAGTCCTCGGTTTTGTGCCCTCGTTCTTGGTGGAACTCGCAGAGTGCGTCTGACTTTCGTGTGTTTGGATCTGACCTCATCTTTTGTGGCCACTTTACCTTCGTTCTGAGCTTCTCCAATGCATAGACTATTTCTGAAGGTGACACACAAAAATTATGAGTGAATAATAAAGGTGGCATGCCTCTCTCGTTCCAGTGAGTCCCAGTCCTTGGTCTGGGTGGGTCCTCTTCGTGGCGGGAGGGGGGCGCGATGGCGCTTCTGACATATGGCTGACGCCATTCTCGGCTAGGTCGTGGAGCTACAAGGTCCCTTCTGATATCATTTCTTCGATCCTTCCTTGATTCGGCTTGTACCGAGGTCAATCGATGAGTTGGCCCATTCAGGTCATCCTCGTCTGCTCAGACTTCGGCACAGTAGGCATTATGTATTTCATCCCAAGTAATTGGGGGATATTTCATAAGCCGACTTAATAACTTTCTGGTCGCCCTTGAACCATTCCTGCTCAGTCCATTTTGGAAAGCTCCAACGGCCATTTCTTTCGATACATTTGGTAAGGCCATTCTTACTCGGTTAAATTGGGCGAGGAAGTCCCTCAATCCTTCTCCGGGCGATTGTTTGATAGCGAATATATCGTTCACTCTCGCCTCCGCCTTTTTGTCCCCAGCATTGGCCATTACGAACTTGTCATCCATCTCTTCGAATGTTTCGATGGAACGCGCGGGCAGCTGTGAATACTAAGTCAATGCTCATCGGGTGAGGGTCTCGCCGAATTTCTTCAACAAGATGAAGGATACTTGTTCCTTGGCTAGGTCGTTGCCTTTTACAGTGGTGACGTAGTGTGTTACATGATCTTCGTGTTCGGTCGTACCATCATATATTTTCTGATAGGGCGGCATTTTGAAGGTCTTTGGTATGGTATGCGGGGCGGCTTCATCACTGTGTGGTTGTTCGACAAACCGACTGGCATCTCTCTCTGGCAAGAGTTTCGGGGCACCCGGTATTTTGTCGACCCTTTCTTGGTGCTCTCTCATTTGGTCCCGAAGCACTTTGTTCTCGTTTTCCATTTCCTCCATCTTTTTCAAAATGGTTGTGAGGGTGTCTTCACCTGCATTATTAACAGTGTGAGTAGTACCTGTTATTGGAGGAGGGCAAGGTCCATGCTGCTCGACGATAGTCGCTGTAACGCAAGTTCTTGCGTTTTCTATGACTGTATCCTGAGTCGGCTTATGGACAATGCTGGTTAGCGTGTCAGTTAGCCAAGCCTCAAGGAGCTTTTTCACCGATGGTGGCGTCTCTTCCGTCATGGACGTGGAGGCTCCTTTACCGCGGGATGTTGCGATACTGCCGTGAGGGAGAGGCGACCCGCCTCGCTTGGGAGAGGCATTAGGCGTTATGTCCTCGCCTTCTGTCTCAGAAACCTCATTGATAGTGTTCAAGATATTGGTGGTGAGGTCGGTCACTACCCTCATTCTTTCTTCTCTGTTACCTGTCATGTCAGATCTATGTGTACAAGAAAAAAGGAGTTTTGCTCTTTGTCTTTTTTGTTAGCAATCTGTGCTAGATGTAGATCTAGAAGAATCTAAAGATTTAACTAGGAAATCCTCACAGACGGCGCCAAATTGTTTGACAAAAAAGTATAAACTTTTGGTTAAACTATTAAATCTTATGTAATAAAGGGTTAAACCTAGTTAATGATAATATCTCTAGATTTAGAACTAGTTAGTATAAATAATGTGAGGTAATGCTGGTGGGGAACTGAAAACAGTGTGCATTTAATATTCCAAAGGATTTGGGCAATAATAGAGGAACATCAAGCAATAAATAGCAATAAATGATATTTATGTAAATAAGGAGAATGATTCCCTCAATATTGAATGAGGTGGGTGATTCTTCTTTCTAATAGTGATGAATGACAGACAAATCCTAGAATATTGGAACTATTCTCGGATCTGATGGAAAAATATGAAATAATAGATGATGGAATCTTAGTAAAAGGGTAAAGTTTGTATCTTTGCTAGAGAGAGAGAGTCTTCTTCTCAAAAAGTATTCTTATCAAATGAATATTACATGCCTTATCCCCTTATCTCCTTTTCTCTTTATATGAGTCACATCCCTAATCAACCCTAATAGTACAAATGCAGAGAATATTCAATAGAATATTATCTTTAGTATCTTATTACAAAAACTAGCCGTTAGTGCTCTATCCTTAGTACTCGACCTCGACCATTGTTGACTGCCCGGCCACGAATCCTACTGTTTCCTAGTCGACCTCGACCGCGTCTTTTTTCTTAATACCACTTTATGCTAAATTGCCTTAGAGCATATTTTGACCTATACAATCTTGTAATAGAATTTAATATGAAACTTATATTTTTGGAACGTTATAAGCTCCTATCATTAAGTTATCACTCAATTATGAAAAGGGAAAGGAAAGATATGAGAATCAACTCTTGCACTTTTTAACACTTGGACTCGTGGGTCTCACTTTCACATTTTGCAGATCTCTTCTCCTTTCATTTTATTTGTTTCTTCATGTCACGTCTTTCTAAAAGTTGTCTTATCCTATGCAAATTACATTACTTATCTTATCAAAAAAATTCACTATTATAAACACATTTTCTACAAAATGTTCAACAATCATCATAAATAAAATACCTAAAAGTATTGTTTACATTTTAGTGTCTGACAATTTCTGTTGGGAAAAATAAGCTAATTTTTGCTTATAATCACGTGAATATGCTTCATTAGGGACAAAACATTAATGAGCAGTAAAGTACCTTATTTTTATATTCTTAGAGTTTAAGTTTTATGTTGACAATATAAAAAATATTCAACTTATTAGGTCAGTTATTAGATAATACAAATAAATCCTTTAATAATCATTAATTTGTAGTCTGACAAAGATGATAACTAACTTGTTATTATAATTAAAGTTTACTAATAATGTAGAAAATCTTTATGTAAATGTATAACTTAAATCTATATTATTAATGAGAAGAATTAACCTAAATAGTCACCTACTTAACTGTTATATTTTTAGAGTTTAAGTTTTATGTTGACAATATAAAAAATATTCAACTTATTAGGTCAGTTATTAGATAATACAAATAAATCCCTTAATAATCATTGATTTGTAGTCTGACAAAGATGATAACTAACTTGTTATTATAATTAAAGTTCTCTAATAATGTAGAAAATCTTTATGTAAATGTAATAACTTAAATCCATATTATTAATAAGAAGAATTAACCTAAATAGTCAATTACTTAACTGCTTAAGCTAAAATAATCGACGGATATATAGTTGTATATAATTAATATATAACTTATGTGTATCGGCTAGGAAAAGTAAATAGTAATCAATTAGGCTCGCTATTTGCGTAAAATCTCTTATTTAGCTGGGCAATTAAGTAATACTTTCCAAATTCCAGCTTGGTGGGTACAGCTGCCAACAACTAGACACTTTTTCTAAATTCAGGTTGCCCATAAAAAACTTCAAATCCAACCATATATTGTTTTCTTGATCATGCAATAACTTTTAAATTTAAGTTTACAAACGAGGTAAAAATTAAAATTAAAATCTCCTCCAAGTCCCATTCATATGCATCTTGAGTATGGTGTAGTTGATTATTGAATTATTTCATGTGCTCTACCTGCAAAACCCATATGGATGCAAATGCAGAAAGTCCACGTAGTTATCTTTTAGGGAAAATTACCTGGCACATCAAATATTTATAATGTAATTATTATTCGTAGCTATACTTTTAGCAAATTTATTATTCATAGTTATATTTGAATCTTATAGCAAATCAATGAAATAAGAGATTAATTGTTTTGAACTGAAACAAGAAAGCAACAAGCTTAGTTGGTTAGAGTGCTTGTTTAGTTAGGGAAGGTTTTGAGTTCAACTCTTAACAAGAACATTTTTTTTTGTATTTCGCGTTATATTCATTGCGCGAACAAATATAGTCAATATAAGTTGTATCCATTGTATATACCCTTGTATTTCGCATTGGTTACAGTTGATACATATTGTATTCGTTGCGCGAATGAATACAGTTGATACACGTTATATTCGTTGCGTGAACGAGTACAGTTGACACAAGCTGTATTCGTTACAAGTTTGAATACAAGTGATACACGTTAGTAACAATTGAATAGTAGCTACGAATGGTAATTAGGTAAATTATAGTGGTTTATGAAAATTCCTCTATCTTTTATCAGTACGGATGGAAGAATCACATACTCCTTCCGTTGCAATTGGGGCATAGAGTTTAAGAAAGAAATGAAGATTTTTAAGACTTATGTCCTAAACAAGCCAAAACATTTGTGCGGCTATAATTCTTTTCAAACTTGTGGTCTTAAACATGTCATATTATTTGTGTGGCTGTAAAAACTTATCATTAAAGGTAAAGTTAAAACTGTAAGCTAAATTATTTCTACATGTAAAAAGTGGTCATTTTTATTGAGAATGAACTAACAAGAAAATAAGTTCTTATAAATTGAAACAGGGGAAAGTAATATTTTTGTCTCTGTTAGAATTTGAACTAGAGGAGATGAAGGGTGTTTTACTACAATTTGAGTTGGCCATTTTGAAATTGGGGGCTCATGCACCGGTACTGTAAAGCCATTATGCACGTTAGTGCATGGAAGTTAAACTCTATTCACGATGAGATGTATCAGCTATAACTTGGATATAAGAAAACCAACATTATGAGAGGCAGCAACAACAGTTTAGTAGTCAATCCCAGAATAATTAAACACAAGGGGTACTGTCATCTTCGTCAGAGACGGATTCATAATTTAAATTCTATGAATTCAAATTTTAAAATTTCTAGAATTGAGCTAATTATAGTTTTAAAATTATGGGTTCATGTCTATTATTTGTTGCAAGAAAAAAGAATGAAGTCGAGGATAAATGTCTGAATTTATTATTACTTTTTTTGCTGCTCCTCCGCATTGAAAGTTATGGA